AGGGGGGGGGGGGGGCATTCTCGCAATAGTGCTGGCCCGTCTGCTCTGGGTCTGTGGGTCTGGGCAACCCACAATTGCCTTTTCAGGTCAACAGCCTTCACTGGAAAAAGATGGAATTTTTCGTTTGCAGAGTGACTTCATCAACACAATGGGACCCACAGCAGTCCTTACCCCTTACCCCCCTCCTCCTTCTAGGATCTTACAGTTCTATGGGGTAGGGTGGGGTGGGGGGCGTTGTCCCTCCTTGGCTCTTCTTAAGAAGGAGAAGATGCAAGACTTTGATGCAAGACCTACATTGGCTTCCCCAGAAGCCCCAAAGAAGCTGGTGCTCCATTCACAAGGCTGTTTGTTTATTGCCCAAATCCCCCAGGGCAGCCTCTAGTGCGTTTTAATTTTTCAGAATTATTTGGAAATGGAAGGGGTCCGGTTTTGTTTTATTAACCTTCCCTTTATAATGGCAGCCCAGGCCCATCCTTTCCTGCTGATTCATTCTGTGTCAGGGATCCGAGTGTGACATGTTAAAAGCCATCCTGGTAGCATTTTATATTCAGCAGTAACAATTCACTGGCTCAAAGGAGGTTCTCTTTCAAAGATGGAGGGGAGGGGGCTGCCAAAGGAAAGTGAGACAATCTGCATATTGGATGTGCCAAGACAGTTGGTAATTTACATTAAGCATCCCCAATTTCTCTCCTTGCAATCTGTCACCCATCAGTGGTTTTTCATTTTATAACCTTCACACAGAAAGGGGGAGCCGGCTCAGCCGCAGCATGGTTTTGTAGCAAGAGTAGGGGGTGGGATTTGCAGCAAAAAAGGGGCATTCTGCAGGCTGGCAGGGTTAGAGGTCCACCATATTATTTCTTTCCTCCCCAGGATGGTGTGATAGAGGGATCTTTGCTCATTACACATAGCTCCATCTCTCATCAAACAGTCCTTGCAAGTTTCAGCCGGCTGTCAAAACCTATCGCACCTCATTTTCCACATCCAAGAAGCTGCATCCTCTCTCTGAAGTCTGAGGCATCTTCGGAGCGTCTAGCTGCATGAACAGAGAGGGACATCCACCAGATGGCTTGTGACACCCCCCCCCCACCCTTTGAGAGCCAGAAGTAGGGGGGTTGGATGGCCCAACTAGATCCAGTAGGGAGGGTGAGATTTTCTGCAGGGGGAAAGGAACTTGGAGGCAGAGAGGGTTGAACCAAGGACACGTGGGCACTTTTCCCCATCCCGTGCCAGTCTCTGCGTTGACGGATGTTGCGGGTCATCTGGGGGAGAGCAGAAGGAATGCCTGATCTCACACTTTTAGGCTTGCGCCTGGATTATCATCTCTGCAGCCAATTCGTCTGCCTTTCCACCCTAATGCACAGCCCCTGTATTTACAATACAGGCCTCCTGCTTTCGCGGCCCCAGGCTGCTCGTCCTCCTCGATTAAGATCCTTCTGTTTCAGTAAACAGGAGGCTTTTTCCTGTTTGAGTCCAGGGACTAATGGAGGGTCTAAAAAACAACAAGTAGTAAATTACCTCTCTTCTCTTCTGCAGCCTTCGGTCCCAAAAGACCTTTAGCCAGAACTGCAGTTTCTGACATTTCTCCTTTGGCTTGGAGGTTCCAAATGTGCTGACCTTCTTCCCCATGTGAAGCCAATCCATTAAGGAGGACTCTCTCACGGTTCTGTTCATTCTCTTCAAGATGGGTACTAAGTGCCCACCCTGTGCAGTTTGCCACAGCCTGCCTTCACACGCATGACTGACCCCAACTGACATCTATGCATGGTTGCTTCGAGATGATTATGGGCGCAAAGCTTTAATCAATGCGCTTGTGCACAGAGACAGGACACTTGAGAAACCTCACCTTTTTTTAACTCACATTAAGAAGGCTTTTTCTGCAGTTATTTTTAAGCGAATGCACATATTTGGTATATTGAGAGAATAAACTGTTTTAGTGGGGCTGTTTTTGTTAACTGAATATAAATGTTTAGCAGTTTATGTCTTTGTTTTATAAGCTGCCTTAAGAAACTGTTTAAGGTGGCATAAACATTTTCTAAACGCCTCGGTGAAATAATAAGCTGGAGGAACCTAAAATTTTAGCAATGAGTGCATGGGAATCTTTTTCAGAAATGGTTCCAGTGAATCTGGAATTCAGTCTGAAGAAACAAAGGTACTGTTCCATTAGATCAGTGTTCCTCAACCTTGGCCCCTTGAAGATGGGTGGACTTCAACTCCCAGAATTCTCCAGCCAGTATGGCTGACTGGGGAATTCTGGGAGTTGAAGACTACCCATCTTCAAGGGGCCAAGGTTGAGGAACACTGCATTAGATGAACAGAGCAAGGTCTCAAACCTCTCCTGGCTGGCTGTACTGTAGTAGCAAGAAAGATTGGGTTGACATGTGGGGCTCCAGATCTTCTGGAGATCCTGTGCACAAGGTGAAGATGTCTAGCATAGCCTGTGATCTGGCTCCAGGCATCCGGCTGCCATGGCCTTTTTTTCTCACAGGCTCTTCTGCTGTTCCATCCACAGTTCATGGCATCAAGTGGACTTGCAGCAACGGGAACAGCAGCTCTGGCTTCTCAGTAGAGCAGCTGGTTCAGCAGATCCTCGACAGCCACCAGACAAAGCCGCAACCTCGGACGCACAACTGCCTCTGCACCGGCAACCTGGGTGAGCAGCAGAAACTGGCTGAGCCAGTTGAAGAGCACCAAAGTCAAGAATTCAATTAATAGATTTTATTAAAGCAAAAGAGTTCACCCCCTTCTAACTAGTTTCAGATTTTGAGCTGGGCAAAATGTGGAATACCTAGAAGGAAGAAATTTAAAGGGAGAAGTGGTTGAGGAAAGTCAGTCAATATGATGGCTAAGTAGGACTTCCAGGTACCTGGAGAGAAATACACTCTGCGCTTGCTCAAGGGCCTCCAGGGCTAGAAGCTGGCTTTGGGCAGATGTGCAGGCTGAACCCTGCTGGATTCTGGTTTGTTATGTAGAGTTGGAAGGTATCCTGCAATAACCGTGGTCCAGGAATACATGGGATGAACTGCAGGACCCACCAACCTCTCTAATCCTGGCTTCTTAGCTAAGAATAGCTAAGTCCTGCACTGGGCAGTGAATTCTACCACATGCCCACCAAATCCAGTTCTAACCTTTACCTTCTGTGAGAATAAGTGATGAACAGGAGACACGTCCTGGAACAGGATCATCTGATATCTCAACTCACTCCCATACTGAAGCCAGAGGCCCACTGAGTCCAAATGCCCCACCCCACATGGCCCTTGTCCCAGTTCAACTGGTCTTTAGAGGCCTTAGAAGCAGCACTTAGCTCCGAGCCATTAATGGCCTTATCCATTTTATTACCTTTGTTCAGAAGGTACCAAATTGATAGCCAAAGATGCATCTTCTGTTGGTGAATTCCAGTGTTGATGCGTTACATGAAGATGTCCTTCCATTTCTATCCTGAATCTCCCACCATTCAGTCTGGCGCATTACAAGAGAAGAAGAAAAACTTCTCCATAGTCGTCAAACCATTACTAATTTTCTAGACCTCAGTCATGTCCACCTAATTCCCCTTTTCTAAGCTAAGAAGCTCCAAACAGTGTAACTATCTCTTGATCAGTAGCTGTTGATCATCTGGGCTGTATTTAGATGCAGTTTGGTGCAGCTTTCCAGCACAGCCACTCCTTTGAGGTCCACTGACCAGAAGGAGTTTTCCAAGTACCTTTACAGCCTTGGCAGTGTTGCTTTTGGATCCCTTCCAAGTGACCTTGACATGTGCCAAGAATTGATTCTTCTGTTTATGCCTTTTTTTTGCAGAACTGGAAGTTTTACTCTATGACCTGGCAGGCAGCACAGACCTACCAAAGTTCCTCAGCCATAGGACCCCTTTGATTGCCCATCTAGAGCAAGGATTTTAACTCCTTTGAGGGTCTGCTGAAACCTACCAAGCCCTTCTCAGAAAAAAAAACATCAAATACATAGATGGAGAGCAAACCCAATCAAGTCTAGCTTTCTAGACTGGTAGGATTAACAGCTTGCATGGATATTTAGGCACAAAAGAACCTTTGAGATGTAAACAATGAGTTGACCATGATCAATGACACGCTTTCAGAAGAGAAAGGTAGTTCAGCCAACCCAACATACAATATTCTGATTTTGCTTTAGTTTTAGATTGTGAGATTTATTGAAGTTAGCAAACATTTTGGGAGTCCAGAGGCCATAATTTATTTTGTTGCATGCATTTCTTCTCAAATGAAAAGCTCCATTTCAGTTAGTGAAAATAAAGCTGTGAAAATAAAGCTGTGATTTTTTTCCCCATTCAAGTTCATGGATCTTCTGAAATCTATTCACAGGCTCCCAAGGTTAAGAACCCCTGATCAAGAGAGTTTTCCCATATGGTGGCAAGGGGAAGTTACATAAGGGAGTGCCAATCTTATGGGTAAAATAAATATCTCCAGGAGAAGACCAGTTTTCTATTTGCAAGAAACTGTTTCTCTTCTTCACCGCGTTGATGAGACAGAAGTGAAAGGAAAAATCCATTATTGTAAGGCCAGAGTGGGTATCGTTCCCTGTCCCTCTGGGGCCATGGGGACATGACTAGAGGTGTAAGACACACTCGGGAAAAGAAAATATAAATGCCAAGAGGACCATGGTGTGATCTCTTATGCAAATTGAAACTCGTGGGAAGCTTTTAAGTCAAGACAAATGTGGTAGCTGGGAATTGGAGGATGCACATCTTCAGGCAGATAGAAAAGGGGAAAATAACAAATGAAATCTTTGGTTCTAAGACAAATTGGGAAAAAGTTCTTTTTCAGGAAAAGGGAGGGACATCTTTCCATCTAAAGCAGTGTTTCTCAACCTTGGCCGCCCCGTGACCTTTGTGCGGCTCCCTCTCCGACCGACCCCGCGCCCCCCCCCCCGCGGGCTGAGGCCGCCTGGGGGGTGGGAGGGACACCGCA